AAAGAAAGAAAGAAAGAGAGAGAGAGAGAAGGAAAGAGAAAGAGAAAGAGAAAGAAAGAAAGGCAGTGGTAAGAACCGGGGAACGTATCAGGCTCCGGAACAGGAGTGCACAGTAGATGTGGACACGGTACTAAGAAGGCAGAGTCTTTCTGGAACCCAGAACCCTTCTTGTGTAGGCTGTGGCTGGTTTCAAAATTCCCTTTTCCCCTTTTGGGACTTGAACTAACTCAAATGTGGAAAAGCTCAGTCTTACTGAAGGCTGTTCTGTTCCGTTTCTCATGTTGCCTCTCTGGACATCATGGAAGTTAGCTCAATGGATTTGCCCAATTTAGTTCCAAAATGGTCATTTTGAGTGTGACATGTAAAGTAACCATTTTCACCATAACATGGTACAGACGCCTCTGTTTTTCACCTCCTTTCAGCATCCTGACGCCACAGCAGAGAGAAAGGTAGATGAACATTGTCCAGGAAGATGAGAAGCTTCATTGTGAGCTCAGAGACCTTGATCTCCAAGTTCCGCAATCTCTCCTCGCCTGGTTGGTTCTTAGCGCCTGTGTATTCCACCTTGAAATGCTGACTAGTGTGTTTTCAAGAGGTCAGTTCACTGACACGGTGGGGGGGGGTCTCCACTCAGTGACCATACTCGGTGGGCTACATGCATATTGAAACAGCACAGGTGACAAATATTCCACGGGAGACCAGGAAGGGATGATAGTCTAACTAAAAGAACAATTGTTATCTTGGGACTAGTTTTGTTTACTTGACAAATGCATTCAAGAGTCCTGGATAGCATTTGCAAATAAATAGTAACCAGAGCCTCTCTGACTCCAGATACCTGTTAGAATCATGGAGCCTACATGATCACCTCAGGGACCATAATCAGATGGGAAGAAAAACCAAAAAAGGACTTTGAATCAACGAAGCCCAAAGTCAAGTAGAGTTACACAGAGCAAGGAGCCCGGCAACAACCAGACTGCCTTACAATAAAGGAAAGGCCGTAAGTCGCAAAGACCGGAAGACATTACGTCCTGAGTCTCGGCTCCCCACAGTGGCTTTCTTGTCCATTTCTTTATTTTCAGCAGTTTCTCGAGAAGTCTACGGCATCCCCGGGAAGAGGCCAAGTCCTCAGCCGTGGCCACTACCACAAGGTACCTCACTGTGACGCACTGAGTGACCTGGTGCAGGCTGTTCTGGTCCCTGATGTTCGTGGCAGGTCTCTCAGAGTTGACGCTTACTTTGTCCCGGAGTCGGGAGAAACCGCGCGGTGGCTTATGAGTTACAGACATTTATAGAGTCCGGTCACTTTGAGTCCTGTAACAGCTTATAGAAAAAGAGTCAGAACATTTTGCAAAGCATATGTTAGAAATGTATTAGAGAGACTTCATTCGCTTTAGTAGCAGTCAGCTTTCACTTCTGTATCCTGTACTTTGTCCATTTCCTTAATGTTCCTCATATATGATATGAAAATGTTTATTCTTAGTGGATAGCAACCGTATGCGAAGAAAACCAGAGCACTGTGGAAACACAAAATAGAGTCGCTTATTACCAAAGACCTGTGCAGTAATATTAGTGTAGAGAAGTGTTGCATTTTATATATTTATTTATTTTAAAAGAGATTTTTGCTATCGGGTGCATGCACTCGCCAGAGAGACAGAAAGGGAGAAATGACTCCCGATAAAGGATAGCCACGGCACAATCTCTTTTCCTCCATGTTCCTCTCTGGATTTGGGGCATGTACGCACATGAGCCTGGCGTGAGTTTCAAGCCACTGAGTTTGGGACTTGAACTATGGTCGACCATGTGGGAGTCCAGTGTATCCACTTGCTGGTCCCAAGTATTACATTTTGGTATGAAGCTTTTTGTTTTGTTTTGTTTTGTTTTCAATCTGGCATCACTCCAAAAAGCTTCTGATTGTCCCTAAAGTCAAATACACTTTCAAAGGGAAAACTTTGCCATCCGTGAACATAAAGATGCCATTCATCCTGAAGTCAGTTACAGAAAAATGGGCAGAATTCTCTGGGCAGAATCAGAAGGGTGTCTTCAGAGTAGGAGTGCTACTTTCTCCGGGGAGTTTCTGAAGGAATTTCTTGTTAATTGGGGTCCTTGTGTTGTTCCTTTATTGTGAGTCAAGACAGTAAGTGGGTTTTGGTAGTTTTTTGTTTTGCTTTTTGAAGTTTTAGTCAGAGTATGTGGGTTCACTGGAGAGACAAAGAGAGGGAAAAGTGAGAAATCACCCTGGTGGGAATGGCCATGCCACAATCCCTTCTCCTCCAGTCTCTTCCTGGGATCTTGGGCATCCGCACATCAGCATCGGGTGTGACTTTCAAGTCACCGGGTCTGGACTTGAACTGTGGTTGGTCATGTGGGAGTCCAGTGCTTTACCTACCACACCATCTACTGGACCCAGGTATTTTATTTATTTATTTATTTATTTGTTTGTTTATTTTGGAGTAAAAGAAAAGGTTATTGAGAGAAAGAGTGCCCAGGGCAGGGGTGGGACAAGAGATTATGGGTGATGGTCTGCTGGATCTGCTTCAGGCTGAGAAGGGGTGTTGTCCTTCAGGGTGATGGGAAGGGGTGTGGGTCCTCGAAGGCAGGCGTGAATATCATACCCTCTGGAGGGGCAAGATGTTTTCAGCCTGTTTGCGCCAATGGTAGGAGAGGGTTTGGGAAGTGGTTTAGCAATTGTAGCAGAGGAGTCCTGTGGAACCTGGACGGAGAGTTACCCGAGGCTCAGCCGGGATGGTGGAGCTGGACCCAACGCCAGGGCCTGTTGGTCCAAAGTCTGGAGGAAGCCAAGGCTCCTTGCTGTGGTTGGGTGGGAGTTGAGTAAGCCCTCCTTGAGCCTGGGACGCTCCTTCATTTGCAGTGGCCACCACTTGGAAGGCCCTCTTCCGTTCCCAGGACTGCGGCGGCCAAACTCATTTCCTTATCTCTATTTGCCTGTTCTTACCGCAATTATTCAAGACTTTGAAGACTAGGCTTGTGAGTTCAGGTTGTGGAGTCTGAGGGCCCTTTTCTAACTTTCGTAGCTTACATCAAATATCAGGGCTGACTGGGAGGTGAAACGCATCGTGAGGACAGATCAGCCTTCTCGGAGTCCACATCTAAGCTGGTGTAGAGGCGAAGGGCCTCTCATCACAGTGGAATTTAATCATCGTAATGAACTATCACTTTTCTGGGCCACCAAGGTGTCCTCACCTGAAGGGTTATTCATCAAGACTGAAATTACTAGCTAATTCAGTGGCATTTCCAAATTCTCTTGGACATATCTTACATCTGTGAAAATAAGGTAGAGATCCAAACACAAGCAGTCTCTTTGCAAATATGCATTTACGTTTAGGTACACAGGTATGTAAGTCGTATGTATAAAAACTGAATCTGCAACTTCTCCATGTTATTGCACTCCAGCATCAGAGAAGCAATGTAAGGCAGATACTTTAATCGCCATTTTATATCCGAAAAATGTAAAAAGAGGGTCGAGTGATTTTCGAAGCATACGGAGGTGGCCATCAACAGGGCAGGATTAATCCAGGTGACTGCTCTAAGTTCTCGTCCACCTGAGAGGAGATAGCTCGGTTCCGCAGTTTCGAGAGAAGGTAAATATCGCCATGGTCAGTGTCCCGTTGGGGTGACCGAGTTAGGAACCATCCGCACACAGAGCTATGCCAGGCCTCAGCGCAGAGCTGGAAACAGCCCATCACTGGAGAGCAAGCATGTATTAGATCTGTGACCAAAGCAGCCAGCCTCATTTTCTCAGCTCTCTCATTAATAGAGATCGTATTTTTAATGAAGTCGTGCTGGGAATAGTCTATATAGTGACTGATGTGATTGCGAGGGATGTGGGGACCCTTAGCAGAGTGCCTGACATCAGTGAGTGATCAACACTTAATGCGATTACTTTTGTTATACTTGATGTCATCAATGAAAGCAAGAAAACGCCTGTGTAGACAGATGTGTCTACCCTCACAATTTCACATAGATGACATGGAGGGACGTGAACGCCAGTCCTTCACTCACGGTGAGTGGTCGCAGAGCCAAGAGGACATGGCACAGCAGTGTGTGTCACAGAATAGGCAGAACCCCGGAGAGAAAAGTGGTGCAGACCGAAAACAAAGGAGCTGGCCCCCCCAAAAAAAAGTAGAAGAAGAAGAAGAAAGAAAGAAGAAAGAGAAAAGGAAAGGAAACAAGAAAAGGCGCAGGTTAGAGGACATAGAAGGAGGTGAAATTGACATGCTGACGGATGCTCTGTGACACAAGCTGTATTTAGCCTCTCTGCCACCTCATGCCGGTTGATTAAGACTGGGAACATTTTCCCAAGTTGTGTGAGAGAAGCACAGCTGTCGTGTTCAGGAACTTGAGCAAGAAACGTATGCTTCCTGCCAAGCTTTTACTGGGTACAAGCTTAAAGCTTCACAAAACAGAATGGCTTTAAAAATGATTGGAGAGATTCATTCTCACTGACAGATGGCAAGCATCATAGATCGGTGCCGTGTGCCTCTGTGTGTGTGCACATGTGTGTATATGCGTGTGCACACCCACGTGTACTCACATGCATCAGGTGAGAAGCTGTCAGTAAAACTTGGACACTTTATTAAGAGCATTGAGATTCTGTTACCCCACTGTTTTCTCAAAAATGAACTAATTTTCTTTAATGAATAATGATCACAATACTTTTATCTATATATCTGAGCCACTGAGGAATACCAAGGATATTCCCGGTCTTGGTGTGTGTGTGTGTGTGTGTGTGTGTGTGTGTGTATCACAATAGTTTGTAGAATTTGTTTCAAAAGCTTAAAACTCCCACATACACAAACACAAAAATATACAAAAACACACCATTTTGCTATCCTGCCATTATAAACTCATAAAACAGCACACCCACTCAGCATTTCTAACAAGAAAAATGGGCCTAATATTTGGTTCACAGCGATATTAGGGAATTTTCCAGCAAAAATGAAGAGCAAAGATTATTTTTTAACCCTAGATCCTATCTAGTTTGGGATGTTTTAATCTTACCTCCCGTGTGGCAGGATTAGACCAGTTAAGGTTACCATAGCAACCATCAATCTCAGCCCTGACACACTGCCTGAAGTGCAGCCAATGGCCGATTGTATCAACGCCTCTTTGTTAGAAATTGTAGGAGCAATTGAAGGAGGTTTCATATACTTGATGTGGCTGATGTGATTAAGGGCCGTTTTAAGGGGCAGTCTGTAATTTCTTTGAAATATTAAAGCTAACGCTGAGAGCAATACGTTGGTGTTGCCAGCGTCAGTCCTCACACTTACGCCCGTGATGCCATCAGCAGAATATCACCCTTAGAACAGCTGCCCTGGTGCCCGTGGGATACCGAGTGCCAGCGACTGCACGGCCACGAGATGATGGCAATGCTGGCTCCCAGCCCCACAAAGCTGCAGAGAGGGGGCCCAGTGTCTGGTGGCTCAGGCATTTCTGCTGGGACAGTCATCTTCTTTTGCACAGAAAGTAATAAATATCACCAGTGTAGATGGAAGTAGAATGGTCACTTTGGCTTTCAGCAAAAACAACTGGGAGGAAGAGTAAAAGCCCATGCATATGGGAGAAGGGTCGGACCGTATCCCGCACACCTTGGACGAAGATACAGCAAAGGAGTCATTCTTTCTAAGGGACTTGCTATCGTTGATGGTAGGAACGTTTCTCTAGCTCAAAAGAAGAAATACAAAGACTCTAATTTTGTGATCAAAAGCGCTGGAGAACTTGGGAGCAGCCAAACCAGAGGTAGGCTGGGAATCATTCAAGCTGCAAGCCAGCCTTGGCCAAGACTGGCCCCGTTGGCTTAAGACGCTCTTTTCACCCACTATGCCCTAGCAGAGGAAAGGCAAACTACCTCTTCGTGAAAACAATGTTTTTCAGAGCCTCAACAATCTTCAACCTTCACTCCATACCCAACATCTCCAATGAAATTATAGTTCATATGAAAGCACAGTCCAGCTGCCAGGGCACAGCAGAAACAAGTGAGTCCTGCAAGGTCCAGAAGCCACGTGGCTGACCACAGCTTCAGACCCCCAGGACAGTCCAGGACAGTCCACAAACAGGTCAGACAGGCACCCAGGTGTCCAGCGACCTGAAGAGCAGGGAAAGCGGGAAAGCGATTTACATGCTGGGATCT